CCATGCATGCCAGTCTCGAGTGCTTACAGGGTATATAATAACGCTATAATAATCCTCAACTGCCGTGCATGAAACGTGCTCGGAGCGCGTTTCGCCATTTACTCTGACTGCGCCGCAGTTCCACATGGAAATTGTCAGCGATTTTATGTAAAATGCCAGCGGGCTCGCTTCGCTCAGCTCTGCTGTGCTGTGCCTTTCCGTTGATGTCTTCATATCTGACTGACTGACGGACTGACGGACTGACGGACTGACTGTGCGACTGACTGACTGACTGATGATAGAGCTGTGTGGCCCGCATGCATGGCATGGCATGGCTGCCGTGGCCATGTGAATGTCGTCCTGGCAACGCTTCGGAGCTGTCAACGCGCCGCAGCGCAAGATTCATAATTGTCGCACGCCCACACACACAACACAACAAAAATGCATTCGAATTGCTGTAATTGTTGCTGCTGTGTCAACTGGCTTGCAGCATTCGCAGACAGCCGTGGCATATCTATGGCCCAGCGCCGCAGCCAGTCCCATGCGCATTCAGATTCTCCCCCGATAATCCACAGCCGGCAACACACGGCCATAACTTTAATACATTGTAATTATGTCAACTCGGCACACTCGTCGTGGGGCAGGCAGCCAGGCAGCGTGCTCCACTTGTTTTTGTTGCAACAGCAGCTTGATCAGCGCTCGGGCCGGAGTGTACTATGCTACGTATACGCAATTTATGCGATTCGCAATCTCTGCCAGAGACTCGCCTCACTTAACGGCTTAATATATTGTTACGGCAGCTGGCGTCGCATAATAACATACAAACACACACGCGCACGCACACACACATGCTCAAGCACATATACAATGCACACACATGACTGCACACATGCCATCAAATGAAAGAAATGGCTACAAAGCGCAAGGCAAAACCAATTCAATTCACACACATACACACCCACACACACACACAGAGAGACAGAAGGGCATCTTTATTAAAGCGTGACACACATACACAGTGTGTATCTGTGTGCGAGCATTCTGTAATTTAATTAGAAACTTTGCACTATTAATTTTGAAACTTTGGCCAAACTAGGAGCACAGCTGCATGTGCCAGCCTGTCGACAGTTGCCATGTGACTTCGCATAGGTGGCCACCACAACAACCAACCCAACTCGACTCAGCTCCCAGTGTCAGTTCCAGCTGCATTTATGGGCGCCAAGGGCGTGGCCAACGGGCTGCTGCTAGCATAGTTTATGCACGCGCAACATATTGAAAAAGGCAACGCGTCGACTTTTTAGCCATTTGTCAAAGCTGCAGCAGGAGCAGCAGCAGGAGCAGCAGTTCGCGCCCCAACTTTTGTAATTAGATAAAGTGGACACACGACTGCATGTGTGTGAGAGAGAGACTGTGTGTGTGTGTGTGTGTGTGTGTGATTCGCATCTGTGGCTGTTTATATTGCACCAAGCACATTCTGCTTTAAAGCCAAACCACATGACAATCTGTATAAAAATCAGCAATTAAATAAGTTTCAATATCTAAAATTGATCTAATCAATTGACAGTTGATTCAATTGCTAGATTGTTGATAAAAAGGTTTATCTAGAGCGCCTTACGCTCTTGAATGTGCATCAGAGTGCATCAGCTACTGTTGATTCTAATAAATAGTTGATGTAACTTTTAAGAAACTTAATTGCATTCAATATACGTTTCCTACTTACTGCTACTGATTTTGTAATTTTTAAAATTAATAGCAAGCAAATTTTATAATTTTCAAAATTTAATAATAATCCTAGGCCTCATTATCATTGAATAATTTAACATATTTCTGCTAGATTTTAAATATTATTTCCTGACTCTTCAGAACGAGTGAGTTATCGTTGAGCAACTGCACATTAAATATTGTAAATTATGGCTGGCTTACATCCATATCTCTGCTTTTTATTACTTTTAACGAGTGTCTTGCAAATTTATCATGAGTTAGCGTTTAGCAACATCTCTCATAATTCATGACGCGCGCAACGCGGCGCTGGCCAAAAAGCGAATGTCAACTTAAAAAGCCAGCGAAATGCCTTAAAATATGCAATGCCAACAACAACAGCAAACGGCAAAGAAATAAAGAGAAATGCAAAAAAATATATGAAAAAAAAAAACAAAAAAATGGCAGCTCAGCAAAGCTAAATGACAAGCACTGTGAAAAGCTGCCACTGGGAGTGCATTTACTTCTTATCAACGGCAGCAGTGTTAGCGGCAGGTGCCAGGTGGCAAGACAGCTCAAGATGTGGAAACAGCATCCATCAGGAGGCGCCACCAGCTGCAGCACCACCACCACCAGCAACGGCAGCAGCGGCAGCGGCAGCGTCAGCACACCTGAGCGCACAATATTAATGGAGTCTCTCTCCAGGGCGCACAACACGTTCTATAATTCTTTTTTTTCCACTTTTTTTTCTGCACATTTTCGTTATTCCTTTCTTTCATTTTTTATTTTTTATTTTTGTCCTTAGCTTACTTTTAGTTTTGGAATATGTAAATATATATCATTTTTTAAAGCTCGACAAAATTGTTCGCTTGCGCCCTTGGCTGCTGCTGCTCCTCACTGATTTATGTCGCTGGCAAATTTGATTAAAACTGCAGCCACTCAGCTTGATGAAGTCGCTGCCGCTGCTGCCGCTGCTGCTGCTGCTGCTGCTGCTGCGCTCTCTAGCTAGATCTCATCGTCTGGTTCCATAATTCCTGCCAATTGCATTTGCTTGGCGGCGGCTTATCTGCTTCCCTCATTCCCCCATTCATCTGCAGCTCTTTGCATCTCTTTGCTTATCGACATCCGCATCGGCGTTTGTAATAAATCAGCTCGTCGCTTCACTCGCTTCCTGTCGTCCCCGCTGCTGCTGCTGCTGCTGTCTGTTGCATGTTAACCTTCCCACTCCCACACACACACACACACACACACTTACATACATATCGCTGTGGCATCATCTTGTCAATAGCTTGGCCTTAGCTTAGTCTCCTGCGCAATATTTTCGACACATCATTTTCAATGTGTGCGCGCTGTGCGGGAGGGCAGGACGCATACAAGTAGAATTTCCATTATTTTTCTTTTCCCTGCCATCATTGATGGACTGCCAGCCTGGCTTTGGCAACTGTTGCCCGCTTTTGTTGTTGGCCTTCGCAGTTGACGTGTAAAATATTATCAACTTAAGTAGCTAGGCTGAAGCCAGCAGCAGCAGCAGCAGCAGCAGCAGCGGCAGCTCAGCTGGAGGGAGTTTGGCTCAAACCTTTTGATAATGTGTCAAGTTTGCTTGTAGACTTTCGACAGACTTTCGGCTCGACAACTTAAACAACTGATTAGCCTGTAAAGTTTGCTGCCAGCCAGGCGAACGAGTCCTGTCGCCCTTCAGCTTGTTACAGTCAATTACGTGACGCGAACTTAACTAGTGACTGAGACTGCGACGCAGACTGCGACTTTGAAAGTACCTGTTCATAAATAACAGCGTTTCAAATTCGTTTCTGTCAAGTAGTGGAAGAGCAGGAGACGGCTAAGTATATAAGTATATCCAGAATAATATTAAAAATTCCACTCGGGCTTAAAGACGAGAAATTGTTGTAATACAATTACTTAAGCGCACGTCTTGGTACTAATAGGCAATCAGAATGTTATTAATCAATCAGTTGCAGCACAGTTTCCTCTATACGAACAACCAGAGAACAAGCTTTCAACTCTATTTCAGAGTTTACTTTGAGATTTGCATACGCGTAAGCAGACAGATTTTGAGCCTGCACATAAATTAGCATAATCTCATAATGCAGAGATCAAAATCTGGGCAAATTGAAAATCAGAGTACAACTAAATTAATGCAATTAATGTAAATGGCAAAACTCTTTGTTAATAAGGCTCAGCGTGTGCAGCGTAGATAAGAGAAAGCTCACACACACACACACACACGCATGTATACATCTTCGATAAAACTAATTAAGGTCAGCAAAACTAATTAGACAGTCTGTGCTGCATATGTTTATGATAACAATGAGAAATACAAGACAATTGCCAACTGGTAACAAGTTTGCCGTTCGAGAGCCCGGCCACAAGCTGTGGCCAGAACTGGCCGAAGTTTGGTTTGGTTTGGTTTTCCACTTGAAAATCAATCAGCCACACTGAGCTGAGCTGTGCTCGAAAAACTGTTGCAAATTTTATAAATGCTGAGCGAGTGCCAGCCTCCTCAGCACATGTTGTACTTTGTATGCCTGTCAACTGGGCCAACCCGGCCCGGCCTGCCACAGCTGCTACTCCTGCCAGCTGGCCGTCTGCTGCTGTCTATCTGCTCGTTTATTTAACACTGATTGCCAATGCACACACAGAGCTTTGGCAACGATGAGTTTCTAGCTCGCCTTAGTGCGGCTCACAGATATGGATGCAGATAGCAGATACTGATACAGTCAGTGCCACAGATACTTTTGTCTATTTGTGTGCTTCGAGGCTGTCGAGCAAACCCTGAACTGTAAACTGTGAACTGTGAACTCTCTCTCTCTCGCTCTGTAATCAGGGACCATGCTCAAGTGTCTCTTGACTATCTATCTGCACTACCGAAAATGTTCGGTTTGAGCCCTGCCGGCGATTGCCAGTGTTTTATCTTTGCGTTTCACTCGAGCCATGTTTACTTTGCTCTGATTTAACCATCTTTGGGCAAATCTCTGCTCTGACACTTGGCCAGAGGCCAATGCTGCGAATGGTCTGCATTAGCAGAACATCAAATGCAGCTTAAGTTTCACAAGTCCAAGACAGGCCAGAATTTAATTGACAACACGTCGTATGCGTAATGAATTCTCATGCAAATGCAGGGCAACAAACCGATTTGCTGTCAATTTTAATAAAGCCAGCTAAGCTGCTCAAACATTTTACTAGAACATAATACATGCATATCAGAGATTCATTTAAATGGATTTTAAGCTCTGTTTAGAGTATTAAGTGTATTAAAAAACATATTATTTTCATTGAAAATTGTTTTGCAATATGAATTAATAGTTTCGTCTTCCTTCTCAGCTTTCACTTGATGTCTGTCTTGATTATAATTAAGCTATAGATTAGTACTAGCTGTCTTTCACGGAGCATACATATATTGTCGCCTGCATTTTAATTAACTCTGAATAAATATCCATGTAAAATATATGTATAAATTTTAATTAAATCTCGAAATCATTTATAGAATGATATAAAATGCACGCTCAACTTTTATTGTATCCCAATTTTTTGGCACATTAATTACGGTTATTTATTAGCCAGGTGGAAAATAAATTGCAAAAGCATTGAAAAATGCATTGTATTGCGTGTGTATGTGTGGGTGTGTGTGGGTGTGTGTAAATATAAGCATGTTAAATGCTTATAAAGTGGTATAAATTACAGCTGATTCCAGGTGCCATTAGCAGGGGACAATGGCAGAAGCAAAATGCAGCAGAGTGTGCCATAATTTATGGCATACAACCGACAATTTCCTGCCCCAGAGCGAGTGTTCAACACAAGAGAAGAGAGAGAGAGA